GCAGCGAGTATCGGCCGTGGATATGGTCAAGGAAGAGGCAGAGGACGAGGGAGAGGAAGGTTTGGTGGCAGCAACTTCGGCGGAGGCCGCGGGAGTGGCGGTTACGGCAGCGACGACAAGAACTACGGACGCGGTCGCGGCCGATTCGACGGCGAGTGTCACTATTGCCACAAGAGCGGACACATGTGGCGCGACTGCTACAAACTCCCTGATGGTTGGACCCCTGCTCAAGGCCAAGAGGGTAGAGGAGCAGGAGGAGGGAGAGGACGAGGCCGTGGAGGCCGTGGCGGTCGCGGTGGTGGAGCTGCAAACATAAAGAACGGAGACAACGACAAGGACCCGAGCGACGATCGATACCCGGGTCTATTCTACTTCGTGTCGACGCAAGTACCGGCTGGTCCAGAGAAGGATGAAGGCTTTGAGGAGCCAGCAGCTGTGGGGAAGGTGAAACTACACCCCCTGGACTATTGGGTGATTGATAATGGCGCTACCTATAGCATGACACCTCGCCCGGACTTGCTCACCGAACTCGAGCCGTCACCGGTGAAGCATGTCACATCGGCTTTGGGGCAGCGAGCAGAGGTGAAAGGCATGGGGAAGGCCATGTTCAAGGGTGCTGATGGGAAGATGGTGGGCCTCAAGAACGTGCTTTGGGTGCCCAGCCTTGCTGCAAACCTGATTTCCGTGCGGCGGTTGGCAAAGGCCGGCATGGACACTAACTCGAAGGGAGCCAAGACCTACACCGCAAGGCATGGCGATCGGATTCTTTGGGACCTTCATGAGGACAGAGATGTCTACAACGAGATGTGGCAGATCCCTGTGGTCCCAATGCCTAAGGAGAGGCAAGTGGCAGCAAGCGTCAGCACTAAAGGTGGAGCGGTTGGTAGCGGCGATTGCGCGGACGGTCGCGCTAAGGAGAAGGAGTCCAAGAAGTGCAAACTTGGAGGGACCAGCAAGCTTAGTGAACCTATGGAGAGAGGTGCAGCAGCCAAGGAGCAGCAAAAGGGTGAGGAGAACCCCGAGGCAGCAGCGGAGGAGGACTACGGAGAGAGTATGTGGGGCGCTATTGCGAGCGCGGCATTCTCCAATCTAACTTCGGCTACGGGGAAGTGTGATTGGCTCACCTTGCATCGGTGCATGGGGCATGTGGCCCTGCCCATCTTGCAGTAGCTAGTGAAGAATGAGATGGTTGCTGGCATACGTGTGAAGGGGGAGCCCGATGAGGTACTTGGCTGCCCGACGTGCATGCAAGCCAAGTTCACCCGTTTCCCATTCTCTAGTTCGGAGGCAACGGCTAAGGCACCACTTGATGAGGTGGTGATGGACGTGGTGGGCCCCCTGAAGCTTGGAGCTGCTGGAGCTGGGTACTTCCTCACTATTGTGGATGTCTACACCCGTATGACTTGGGTGTACGTGCTGGCCAAGAAGAGCGACGTGGCTGAAACGTTGAAGACGGATTGGTTCCCGATGGTGGAGCGCCAACAAGACCGTCTAGTCAAGTCAATCCGCACCGATCGAGGGGGAGAGTTCTTGAGCAAGGAGTTTGGGTAGTGGCTGAAGAAGAATGGTATTCGGCACTCCCTCACCATGCCATACTCCCCTGCAATGAACGGCATTGCTGAGCGAGCGAACCGCACAATCACGGAGGCGGCACGCGGGTTGCTCATTGAAGCCAGGCTACCCGACTATTTCTGGCCTGATGCGGTGCGGAGCGCGTGTGTGGCCAAGAACAGAGCCTTGACTCATGTGGGAGCAGACAAATGAGTGCCCTATGTGGAGTGGCTAGGAAGGAAGCCAAAAGTGGATATGCTTCGGGTGTTCGAGTGCATGTGCATGGCGCTCGTGCCTAAGCATCTTCGGCACAACAAGCTTGGTGCCAAGGCGGTGTGGGCCGTGCACTTGGGCATGGCTCAAAACAGCAAGGGATGGCTTCTTTGGGACCCATTCACCAAGAAGTTCTTGGTGAGCAGGGACTGCAAGTTCATGGAGAACTTCATGTACAAGGATTGGAAGGCGGAGAATGAGGCGAAGATAGGCGTGCGGTTTGGGGAGGTGAAGAGTTCCGGTTTGGAGCATGTGGAGCTGCCTTTGGAGCTGAGCAGTGGCAGCACTACCACAAGGCAATCTTCCCTTGTGAATGGGGGAGAGGAGGCCAATGATGCAGAGGAAGAAGAGGAGGAGGTGCAGCAAGTGAGCGAGCGTGCACCGTCACTCCCTTCCCGCACTACGAGTGCTCCACGGATTCGAGCCACACCGCAGCAACGCCAAGGCCTTCAAGTCCCTGCAGCTGAGGAGGAAGGAGGAAGAGGAGAGTTCAACCCCCTAATAGGCTGACCTATGATGCACTTGGAAAGCAAGGCAAGACAGCCCTGGCCGGAGCGGCAATGATGGTCGGAGACGACGAGGAGAGTGACTACGAGGAGTGTGCCTTCGCGTTCTTCTCTCCGGTGGAGATGCTGGGAGAACCAGCAACTCTCAAGGTGGCTTTGGAGAGTAGTGATGCTGAGGAGTGGAAGAAGGCCATGGAGAGTGAGCTGAAGAGCATCGAGGAGAATGACACGTTTGAATTGGTGGAGCTACCGGAGGGGTGTACGGCGATAACGTTCAAGTGGGTTTTCAAAATCAAGTCAGATGCCGACGGCAAGATCGAGCGTTACAAGTCCAGACTTGTAGCCAAGGGGTACCAGCAGAAGGAGAAGGTGGACTTCAAGGAGCTGTTTGCCCCTGTGGTGAAGCCGACGACGCTGCGAACCCTATTCGCGGGAGCCGCCATCAAAGGATGGGTGGTGAAGCAAATGGACATTGTGACGGCATTCCTTAACGGCATCCTTGAGGAGGAGATTTTTATGGCGCAGCCAGAGGGGTTTGATGATGGTAGTGGCAGAGTGAGGAAGCTGAAGAAGGCCCTCTATGGGCTGAAGCAGGCCCCTAGGCAATGGTACATGAAGCTGCGCGAAGTGTTGGAGGAGATCGGCTTCACTCCCTCAACGGCCGATCACTCCTTGTTCATGCTTGGCGAGGGGGAGCAGAGGAGCTTCATGGTGGTTTATGTGGATGACATTCTCATATTCGCACCCTCCTCTGACCTTGTGAAGGAGGTGATGCTGAAGCTGCATGACAAGTTCAAGTGCAAGTCCCTTGGTGACGTGAACTTCTACCTTGGGCTCCACATCGAACGAGACGTGGAGAAGCGGAGCATGCGAGTGCACCAACGGAAGTACCTGGAGGCGTTGGCTGCCAACTTCGGCCAGAGTGAAGGTCATGTGGCTACTCCCTTTCCCTCTGGGTTCAAGTGTGTGAAGGGGCCAGAGGAGGAGAGCGTTGGAGAAGAGGAGAGGCGCCGATTTCACTCGTTGGTGGACAGCCTCATGTATGCGGCGGTAAACACCCGACCGGACGTCGCGTTTGCTACCGGGCAGCTGGTTAGGGTTGTGCAATTCCCTAATGAGGAGCAGGTAGCAGCTGGAATGAGGGTGGCCAAGTATCTTGGCCAAACACCGACTGTTGGGCTGCAATACTCGGCGGCGGCACAAAGGCGCCAAAAGGGCGCGGATGGTGTTGAACCCGGGCGTTTGTTCCTCACCGCCTACTCGGATGCTTCATATGCATCAGAACCAGAGGACATGACAAGTGTGGGAGGCTTCATATGCTGTGTTGGTGGAGGCCCAACTGCTTGGGAGAGCAAGAAGCAGGTTGACCAAGCTTTGAGCTCGGTGGAGTCCAAGTACATGGCACTCTTCCGTGCCGTACGGGAGATTGTGTGGCAGCGGCGTTTGTTGGCTGAATTGGGGGAGGAGCAGCAAGGACCTACCCCACTGTATTGTGACAGCCAGGGTGCCATTGCTCTTGCTAAGAACCCTGTGTTGCATGGACTCACGAAGCACATGAGGGTGAAGTGGCATTGGACGAGGAGCATGGTAACCGCGGGTGAAGTTAAGTTGCGCTACGTGAAGACCACGGGGCAGCCGGCTGACATGATGACCAAGAGGATGGCGGAGCAGCAGCATTGGAAGTGTTGCAAGCTGGCTGGGATGGCTCTGAACTGAGAGAGCAACATATCCTAAGGCCAACAATTCGAGGGGGAGTTTGTTGGTACAACCCTATGGTTTGCACTCGGCTTGTTGTCCGTGTGCGTGCATGTGTGTGTGTATGGAATGGTATGAGGGCATGGGATAATATGTATTTCATGCTTATAATAGTGTGTGAATGTTGAGTCATGATGTCGAGTGTGTGTGTTGAGTCAATAGCGAGTTATCGCTAGACGCGTGGTACGCGGTCGTTTGTGTCTCGCGCACGGTTTCTATTTTGTTGTGCGCGGTTTCTATTTTGTCCTGTGTCGAACGTTCGGTGTGTCGCAGGTGTGTGCAGCAGACCCATCAAGAACTCAAGGATGAGTTTGTGATGAAGAGCCCGAGCCTTGGTGTCAAGCCTCAAGTGATTTCGAAGCTCGCCAAAAGGGTACACCTCAAGTTATTGAAGATAGTTACATTACTTTGTGTAGTGTAACATTTCACTTGGTGTAGGCCCTAGTGAAGGGTAGTTTCGAGACCCTTCGTGGTTGGGGACAGTGTGGCACTGTTTCACATCACTGTACCTCGGCTCTTGGGGTTTGTAGGAGCTGGGAGTCATTCCCAACTCGTAACTCTCCCTAACTCTTCCTATCTTGTGTTCTAAGACTATAGTGGCTGCCATAGTGCCGTTCGTTCAAACCAACGCTGTGTCGTCAATACTTGATCAAATCATGCGATCTAAATTGCCTAGTATAGGCGACAATAAGACGCTCCAGATCCAAGTTGAATCAAGTCATTTGAAGCTGTGACTAGAACGCTATGAACGTTTGAAGCCGCTGTGCAGAAATACGACTGTGCACTCTATCTTTCGTTTTAGGCACATTGGAGCCTACTGTGACTATAACACCCGTCACGCAGACGACTTAGGGTTTCAAAAATTGGTTGTACAGTAAAAAAAATAATTTTACAGTGTAGACCAACCTCACAGGG